TTTCCTTTAAAACTAGAACTAAATATGCATGTGAAGAAATGGAAGGAAGCATAGTTTATCGAAGATTGTGAACAAAAAGCAGCCAAAATTAATATCATAAACTGAAAAAGTATTAAAAAACATTAAGGAAAAGGAAATTATAGCTATATTTGTATTGGTGTAGTACAAGTATACATAACTCCTATGCAATATTTTGGCAAGGAAGTTAAATGCTTGAGTTTTATTTGTGATATTAGACATAAAGAATTTTATGATCAAATAATTAGTGGAATCACATGTAACTTAAGTCAAGGAATGATAAGCTATATATGTGAACCTAGATATTATGTGAGCTTAGAGGATTCCTTTGCGTCAAAGTTTTTAGCTATCAAGCTATTAACAGAAGGAGTGAATATGCATAAAGGAACACGACCCATACAATTAAGATGGAAGGTGGTTTATAAGTTAGTAAACACTATAGACTCATCTTTTAAGAAAAAAATAGTTGATGCTCAGAAATATGAGCAAGGAGGAGGTCCTAAGAAGAAAATTACACCTATAAAAGTAAATCCTAATGAAATTGAAATTGAAAAAATTTGGGAGGAATTCTTTATGAACCCTGCAGTTAGTAATAGATCTAGTAAGATGTTAATTGATGAATCAGGATTACTTCATATTGGAATGACTACAAAACCTAAAATACAGAGAAATATGAGTCTTAGAACACCAAGCCTAAGTAGACAAAATTCAACAATAATAATAATGAAATAACAAGGTGATGAAAAGCCAGAAGAGGATGAAGAAGAAATATTAGTTCTACTACTGAAACTAAATGAAAAATATGAAAGTAAAAAAGCCTTAAAGCAACCGGCAAGGCATAGCATTGATATGGGATCATATTCTAATTTAGAGTTAAATGAAGATCCAAATAATCCTATTGATAAAAGGAAGGTAATTGGATATAAAACCAAAACTGTGAGTGAACCAGCATATGAGGATGAAATTAATATGCAAATGGAAGCTTGTAATGAAATATCCAGTACTAATCCTAATAGCATTTAATTTATATTCCAATTGATATATGCTAAGGATTATAATAAATATAAATTATGCGCATATATTGATAGTGGTTGTTCTAAATGTTTTGGAAAAAGGTCATTATTTCCAGAATTCTTGTGGAAAAAAGGCTAAAATCCTGAGTATCATGATGCATACGGAGATAATCGAGGAATTACCAATAGAAATTGGAGGAGTTCAATGTGTTATTCCTATTTTATGGGCAACTGATCAACCTAGTCATAATATGATAATAGGAAATAATTTTCAAAGATTATACTCTCCATGCACTCAAACTATTGATCAAATAATCTTTACTATTAATGGTCATTCCATTCCTATGCAGAAAATCACAAAGGCTTATACTCATTAGACAATGGAATTTACGCGCAGCCAGCTTGGTGATAGGGTTACTCCTACATAACGAGAGGTTGCACTTAGAATTTCTGAGTATGATTCATCATTAATAGATTAGATAAATAAGTAACAAGAAAAATTATGTGAAAAATTATATTCAACAAATCCTTTAGAACATTGGGAAAAGGATAAGACATTTGCTAAGATAACTCTAGCATATCCTAATAATATTATAAGAGTAAGACAAATGGTCTATACCTACCAAGATATTCAGGAGTTTGATGAACAAATAAAAAAATTGCTTAATAAAAAGTTTATTAGGAATAGCAAAAGTCCTCATAATAGTCCAGCATTCATGGTAAGAAATCATGCAGAAGAGAAAAGCGGAAAAGCTAGAATGGCCATTAATTATAAACAGCTAAATGACAATACTGTTTTGATGGCTATTGCATTCCTAATAAAACTATGTTATTTAATAGAATACAAGGAGCCACTTGGTTTTCTAAAATAGATTGTAAGAGTGGCTACTGACAAATTAAAATGGAAGAAGAAAGCATTCCATTAACCGCATTTAGTGCCCCTCAAGGGCATTATGAATGGCTAGTAATGCCTTTTGGATTAAAATATGCTCCACAAATATTTCAAAGAAGAATGAATAATATTTTAGAGAACTTAATCCTTGTTGTTCGGTCTATATAGATGATATTCTAATATTTCCAAAAGATTTAGAGCAACATAAAAATGATCTTAAAGCAGTAACTCAAAAATGTGTAGAGCATGGTATAATCCTTGGAAAAGATAAATGTGTTTATGCTAGAAAAGATTGAAAAATTTCCAGATAAAAGGAAATCCTTGCAGTTATTAGAGGGATCGAGAAGTTCTTAATCTTCTAGCCCCTAAATAGTTCTTAATAATAACAGATTGCAAAGGCATACTCAGTTTTGTTAAAAAGAATTTGTCTAATATGCAAGCGCAAGGGAGACTCCTGCGTTGGCAATTATGGCTTAACCAATTCTCTTTTACTGTTGAACATATTCAGGGATCGAAGAATTCTTTAGCCGATACTCTAACCAAAGGATTGGCTAATGGCGAAGAATCACAAGACATAAAAAAAAAACCTCCTGCCCGTCAACTAGAAAAGATGGAGGCAGAGAGATAAACTCTTATTGTAGAAACCGATAAAGCAATGGAGCGGGTTTCACCCTCCACTTGGGCCTTGATGGAGGCCATGATTATTTCATAAAAAAGAAGATCTCGAGATAGTTTAATTCAAAGTTGTCATGTAGTAGTTTGAAGGTTCCTAATGTACGAAGTGATGTTCATTATCCTGAGACTCATTCCTGATATTCAGGATATAATACTAAATAAATTAAAAGATAATAATTTTAGGTTCTGGTATGATCTAGTTGTATCAAGGTCATACAAAATGTATGGTGTCTATGATATATGGGGAAGTAGAATAATATTCAACACCAATTCCAGAGTGGGTATTGTGTCAATTCATCCACATTCACTGGAGTGGAGGGCACCTTATGTAGCAGAGTACTACAGAGCTTGGGATTATGGGATGTTTCATAGTATTGTACCATTTCCTAATAATAATACTACGTTCTTAGAGAAGCTCACGAAATTCCAAAAGTATGTTTTTAGGAGAATTTATGAAGCAACAAGATATAAAGGAAGAGTTGAACAAGTCCAAGTGCAAAGTGCAAACATTGAAATGGTTGAAGGAAAAATTAACTCTCCTCCTTTCCTGATCATGTTTGAAGACATTCATCGCAAAATCAAAGATCCAATCTGTATCCAGTAGAGACGAGTAAAAGATCCTATGAAGGCAAGAGCTTATGGATTTTTCTATATTGCTCAGTATCTTAACCAGTTCATAGCGTTAAAAGAAGAACCACCGGTCATAATACATGTGACCATGTGGAAAATACTACTATAGTAGCACCAGAATGGTTAAGAAATTATTTAGAAGAAGGAGTATTACATGGTGAATCAGTGTATGATTATCTCGAACGAAATGAAGCTGGGAGATATTTATCCTTAGAGTGAAAAGAGCACTTATTGAAGATCTTTGTCACATGGGATGAATTCTATGCTTCTAAATGTGTGATGGATCTAGGTATAGAAGAAGACAACCCAATGTATGTCCATTATAAAGACAGTAAGGACAACAAAGGTAGTCTACAAGATATGATGGAGTCCTGAGCCCACACCATCAATTATGTATTCTACTTTTACTGTAGTAGCACGTTTTATTTGTTTTAAAGAATCTTTAGAAAAGTAGTGAACGATATTCACTTGCTGAGTCATGGTTTTCTGTAAGCCATATAAAGTGTCGGTGACCTTTGTGAGCCTTCCCCTATATAAAGGGTATTAGGCAAAGAAGTGAAGGCAGAGTTGGAAGAATTAGCTAGAGAATTACTCTGAAAGATTTAGAGAGTCCTCTAGAGACACATACTCACTTTAAGAGAAAGATTGGTTCTCCATCTCTCTTAAAGTAGAAAAAACTCTAGTTCAACTTATGTCTGTTTAAGCTTTCAGTTTGTGTGTTGTAATATATGAGTGTTGTAATCTTTTCAAATTAAATAAAAGTTTTGTTCAAGAAGGGAACCTTACCCCTTGAACCTTATATATCAAATGAGTTATCTTTCTGTTTAAGAAGTTCCATCTTAAACACAGTAAGATTGTTTAATTAGAGATTACGGTCTAAGGTAGGAAACGAATTAGATCTGTGCTGAGCCTGATTTAAGGAAGACAGGGTTGGGGTTAGCTACCTTGGTAAAGCCGGAAGCGCAGAACGCCGGAGGTTCCATTGTTGACTATGTTCAGGTATTGGTCAAAACTCTCTAGTTAAAGAATTATTATTGCGGAGCATGGAAGGCTGTTAAATTGTTAAAATAATTTATTTTGATGTATAAGTAGTAGATTTGTGATAACTAGTACCGTTAAAAGTCATTAATCAAGAAACAAGCGAACAATAATTGATATTAATATATAAATAGGTTCGTTGGTATCAAAAAGGTATTCGATAGTATCAAAAGAAATACCATTTAAGAGTTCGTTGGTATCAAAGAAGACTACCATCTAGGCTTGACTTGGTTGATGTTGGTATACCGTCGACATTAAAATCAGTACCAAATCACCAACGACAAAAGTGTCGGTTACAGTACAAATGAACCCCACTTGGTAGAGTCCAAAGTGGACTCAAGTAGGTAGAGACCAAGAAAAGCTCGAAAAAAAAATGACAACTCATTAAAAAAGGGTAATAATATTAAAAAATACAACCTTTAAATAGAGATAGGCATTGTATTTTGGTTTACTTAAAAAGAAAATGAAGCTTTGTATTAAGGGAAGGAGGGAGTATTACTTTCTCTCTCCTCTTCAACCTTTTCTTTTTCATTATTTTTTGGTAGTAGTAGTCTCCATTACCATCTCTCAATGAATGACAAAAATGATTGAATGCACTCACTTTATTAATTTTTCTAAATAACCGCGCATAACTCTAAACGTAAAGAATAAAAGGGAACCGACCAAGGGAGTAGAAAGTATTCCTTTGTCCACCAAAGCTTGAAGAGTGCATTTGTGCTTGAGTATCACGTAATGCTTACAACTTTAATTGCCGTAGCATAACTTTCACTGTCTAAAAAAACGGACTCGTTCAAAACCAAACATCGAGCCCGTTGGAATTTCAGCCGCGCGCATTGGATATTAACTCACTAGTCACTACACTAACCCATTTTACATTTCGCCGGAGATTCGTCGCCTTTCGCCGGAGATTATTCCTTAAACCCTAATTTCGTCCACTATGCCGACGAAATCGCCGGTAAATCCCGAAAATGCGGTGGAGCTTTTCCTGAAAATTGGATTAGATGAACGAGTCGCTCATAATACAGTCGCCAACAACAAGGTCACCAATAATCTATTGGCTGTAATCAATGAGGTAGTAATTTTTTCATTTTTCGTCCATTTTTTGCTCCAAAAACTGGAATTTTTTCGGAGTATTTTTTGGTTATTTGTTCTCACTTTTGGTGGAATCTAGGCTGGTGTTACTGATGGATGCAATCGAACTACAGGAAATCTTCTTTACACGGTGAAATTGATTGTTTTGAGAAATTTAATTATGTGTTAAATCCGTAATTTGATTTCATTTTGTTGATTATTGCTTGGAATATATTTTTACAAAATGTTTCTGTTATAATGGTGGATTGAACATATTGTTGAATTGGACTTGTTTGTTTTTATTGAAATTGGTTTGTTTTAATGGTAGGTTGCCACGAAATTTCCTAGCAATGCTCTTGTGCATCGGCCTGTATTAGCCGAATACGTTGTTTCGTCCAAGGTGAGCTATAATTCTATCAAATGTACATATTTACATATTATCTTGATGAGGTGATGCAATTGTAATATTTTGCTTGCATATTGACTAAATTAGTGTTAGTTTAGTGAATTATATATTTTGTGATCATAATATTATTGTATGAGTAGCTTTGAGAACAGTGTTCAGAATCTACAACTACTGAAATATTTGTAAAAGCAAAGACGGATGAATTATAATGATCAGCAACTCGAGATTCTGATGTGCGTTATATTTTATTTGACAAAATTGAGGTGAAATAAGTCTTATATATCCTTTCTATTTAAAATAAGTCCTAAACTTTGGCAATATCATTTGCTTGCAAAATAAAAAAAACTTTCCATCTCATCACTCCAATGTCTTTATAGAGGCTCTAACCCTAGGTGAGCTATGGGCGATCATACAATTCATATGTACATGCCTTACCCCAACAATAGTTATAGTGCAATTTTCGATTGATTCATTCGTAACTTGATCTTAACAGCTGTTTTCTACTAAGTAATAATTGATAAGAGTAAATTTTAAAGTGATTTTAATTTTCCTCCAACCTCCGTCAAGATTATGAATAGACGAATAGTGAATCTCTCCTCACTTGGAAGACAAATTAGATTATTTTTTTAGTTCTTCTTACACGCTGCTTCCAGAAAATTTGAACTTTAACATGATGCCTGGATTTCGTGAGTCTATTTATAGCATACGGAGTATCCTGTAATGAGTTTGGGGGAAAGAAATGGAACATACTAACTGAGGAATCAATCTTTTGGAGTCGGACACAAAATCTCTTTTTATATACTTCATTCGTTTTAAAAATTACTTTAGTAAATATTGATGTGTTTTATGTTTCATTGTTTGGTGTGAGCTACAAGTTAACGTAACATGTAACTCAATGCAGTGATTTAAGAAACGAAATATGTTAACTTTATTGGACTGAGTAGTCTTTGTGCCCTTTTTTTTATTATTTTTTTTTTAAAATCCAAAACGTATGGATGATGCATTGATAATTTTATTGTTTTGTAGATTAAAACACCAGCTCAATTGGAAGCTGCTTTTACATTTTTCTCAGATATTGGTCCTGAGAAATTCAGCTCCAATGACTTTGAAAAGGCTTGTGGAGTTGGTATACAATTAATTCTTGATTTTTTTATTAGAATGAACTTTTTGAATTTGTTAATTCTAAGATTTGTTGCTCTTTATGCAAGTATTTTTTAATATATCTCTCTATTTTGGTTTTCTAGGTGTTGAAGTTTCTAATGAAGAGATTGAGCATACTGTTGGTGAAATACTTGAAGAGAGTAAAGCAACAATTTTGGAGCAGCGCTATAAAACAAATGGTTTGCATTGTTCATGTTGGGCTATTATGCATTGCAGTAGCAGTTCCTTTATACCTGTCCCTTTATCATTTTTTTTTTCTTCAGGAAGGGGGAGTGGGGGGAACAGGGCATATCTTGAGCATATAATATTATTTCTAACCAAATCCTGTATTCTCTATGTTGATCAATTGTTCCATAATTGTGCTTTGTTATTGTATGATTGTTTGCTGACATGTAATTATATATCTTTGTCAGTTGGTGACTTATTTAGACGTGTTCGAGAGAGACAGCCATGGGCTGATCCAAGGATTGTTAAGGTCACTCTTCCTTTGCTCGCTCAACTTATTTTAGACAAGTCACATAGATTAAATTATTGTACTACATTTTTGAGTGAAATGTGTGTATATATATGTGTGTGATCTTATGGAATATGGATCATGCCTCTGAATATTGCAGCAAGTGGTAGATACAAAGTTACGGGAATTATTGGGTGAAAGAACTGCAGCAGATGATGAAAAGCCAGTAAAAAAGAAAAAGGAAAAGCCTGCTAAAGTTGAGGTAGGCATTTTCCTCCAGTCTACAACCTATGCTTGGAGGTTCAGGCTTCATTGTAATTTGTATGATTATTTATTTTGCTATTGCACATTTTATAGGAACAAGCTGCTGTTACTCCAGCACAGCCAACTGAAGAAGACCTTAACCCATTTTTAATCTTCCCATCACCAGAAGAAAATCTTAAGGTAGAAAATTTTCGCAGGCAATTTTTGTCATTTCATTGCTTTTATTCGCTGAAGAATTATCCTTTGCAGCCCAAGTGGTGATACAATATGTTTGCTATCTATTCATGTATGCTCCCTGAAATTAGATAGAGAGAGCCACGAGCTGGTATAGCTTTTTGATTAAGTTATAGGTAAAATGACAAATTGCACATGAAGGGAGTATATATCTCAAAAGAATATTCTGTAATCTAATTATTGTTTCCTTTGTTTAAATTGAAAAATATGGCATTCTAGCTTAGTATAATTTTAAGTGTTTAAGGATTACGGGGTGGTGCCACGGGCTGGTATAGCTTTTTGATTAAGTTATAGGTAAAATGACACTTAATTGCATATAAAGGGAGTATATATTTCAAAAGAATCTTCTGTAATCTAAATATTGTTTCCTTTGTAATCTAAATATTGTTTCCTTTGTTTAAATTGAAGGAAATACTAATATTAGACAATTGTTGCAGTGGATTCAGACATTTATTGCCAAAAAAAAAAAAAAAAAAAAAAAAAAAAAACAATAGGAAATGGGAAACTTGTAAATGGTTCTATTGTTATATACTCATATTAGCAATGCAATTAATTTTTTACTATAGAGAATGCAATCCCAGACCTTCGAGTGGCTGGAGACACTCCCACAGAAGTAAGAATAAAAATAAAAAAAATGACTAAATAATTTTTTTCTTATCATTCCGCGTTACTTATAGTTCTCATTATTGACATGATACCCAAAGCTAACTTAATTCTGAAAATTGCTGATGTCACCTTTTAACTTCTTCAAGGCAATTATTGTCAAAACCTACATACAATTGGTGACTATCTAGCTTAGGGTGGGTGTGTTGATGCATTACATGTTTCTTGTTTTAAAGTTTTTCAATAGGTCTTGGTGTCAACAACACTTTGTTGGGATGTTTGCAGAACTTAGATTAGAATTGTGGGCCCTTATTTATCTATTTATTTAGTTGACTGTCTTAAAATAAGTCAAAAGTGCTGTAGGATATTTTTTTGGGACGTGTTGTTGTGTTGTGAGAATGTTGCCAGGTTATTTTTGACCTGTTAGGATCACTTAAGGCTTGTGCATAAGGCCTATGATAAAAACATACTTGCTGCTTTCGGCTAAGATTTTGTTATTTGGCTTGTTTATTTTAGGTCCACACTGAAGTTTTCTTCAGTGATGGTTCTGTCTTAAGACCTTACAATTCCCGGGAGATTCTTGAGAAGCACTTGAAAGTGACGGGGGGCAAAGTTTTTACTCGCTTCCCACCTGAGCCAAATGGGTACCTTCACATTGGTCATGCTAAGGTGATTTGCAACTTGCTGCTTTTAATGTAGCAGAAGCCTTAAGTCTTTTTGTTGAATGGAGCATAACCTATTCCTGAAATGCACAGGCTATGTTTGTTGATTTTGGATTGGCAAAGGACAGAGGAGGAAATTGCTATCTAAGGTGAAATATTTTGTGATTTAATATTTTTATGAGTTGCTATGTGTTTGAGGTACCATTACAACTCTTATTCCTGTTGATTGATGTATTATTTTGGCTTTATGATGTCTACATGTTATAGTTTCATTGTTGACTTCTTGTCTCTTGGCTTTTGTATATTTGATTATGCGGGATTCATTTTGAGACTAAGGCTTTGTTGTTGATGTTGTTTGAAGTAAATGGATTAGTGAACCTCTATTTTTTCCCTTTTCTTAATAAGGTCTATGTTTGTACCGAATTCGAGAAAATTGTGCAGGGTATATGTATTTGGCTTGTTATTCATAGTTAGACCTGGTTATTGGGTGGGTCGGGTCAGGGTCGGTTGCGGGTCAGGGTCAAAGAGGGTCACATTTTATAGGGTCAATATAGGGTCGGGCCAATGCGGGTCGCGGGTCGATAATGGGCGGGCCAAAAAAATATCAATTAAAATAAATATTAGACAAAGCCATTATTAAATACATATGAATACAAATTAATCTATACAATTATTTTTACATTATGTATTTTCTTTATTAACTAAATTGGAAAAACATGTTGGCCCTATATTGACCCTACCCAATAAGGGCCCTATCCATTAATAGCCCTGTCTATTAAAAGCCATATAAGCTTGGCCCTGACCCTATTATCATTGGACTACCCTGTCCAATAATCACCTCTATTCATAGTTCCTCCTAAAATTGGCTTTCAATTTAGCATTTGTAGAATTAAGGAAAAGCTTTTCATGGAATATACTCTGATACAGTCAATTAAGCTCTTTAATGTGGAATTGGATTCCTAGATGAAAATTTTGACAATCATTTGAAAAAAAGGCAGCCTGTTTATACATCTTTTCTTTTAATTGAGGGAATTGGCTTATATGATAAGCATGGTTGTTTTTGCTTTAAAAATTGTGGCCACGTGGGTATGTCTACACAAACTGCATATTGTAACTGTTTTTTTCTGTTGCTTCAGTATCTTATTGAAGATATTTAGAAAGAAAAACTCAATTATGTTGCATAACATTTTGTGGCTTTGCTGATGAAAGCAAAAAAAAAAAAAAAAAAAAAAAAAAAAAAACATATTTTGGGATAATTGTATAGTACTTTATTAGATCTGATTCACCTTCTGGTTTAATTTAGATATGATGACACAAATCCGGAAGCTGAAAAAAAAGAGTATATTGACCATATTGAAGAAATAGTCAGATGGATGGGATGGGAGCCATTCAAGGTATATAATTTTCACTATTCATGTTTGTATAACAGTGCAAACCAGCTCAAGTATTCACTTGTCTCTGCTGTTATATTGCAGATAACTTATACCAGTGACTATTTCCAAGATCTGTATGATTTAGCTGTCGAACTCATTAGGAGGGGTCACGCATATGTTGATCATCAGGTTGCTATATTCTGCCTCTGCTTCTTTATCTTGTCTTTTACATATATACGTGCAACCTTTTCCATAACTAACCTTTGACATGCCATCTCTTAAATGGTCACAGTGGTTTTACAAAGTTCCTCTTACTTTAGGTATTTTCTTGAAAAAGCTGTTTCTTTTTGCGTGTTTAATTGCAGACTGCTGATGAGATAAAGGAGTATAGAGAAAAAAAGATGAATAGTCCATGGAGAGACAGACCGGTAAAAGAATCTTTGAAACTGTTCAAGGAAATGAGAAGAGGAATGATTGAGGAAGGAAAGGCAACACTGAGGATGAAGCAAGATATGCAGAGTGACAACTTTAATATGTACGATCTTATTGCATATAGAATCAAGGCAAGCATTTGTAACTTTTTAATTGTATAACTTGTTGATTTTAATTTTAAATTTTTTCATTTGATTTATAATTTATTTGCAGTTTACTCGTCATCCTAAAGCAGGAGATAAGTGGTGTATATACCCTAGCTATGACTATGCCCATTGCATTGTTGATTCACTTGAAAATGTGACTCACTCGGTATGTATCTTTACTGCAAGTTATTTCATTTTTTAAATTGTGTTTGCATCTTAAGTATCCACCATTTTATTAGTGCATTCAGTATTTTTTGTTCCTCTCCCATGCAATTTATGCATAGGTATTACTCTTAAAAAGTAAATTGTGGGTAACTGGGTTTTACCTCATATTTAAAAATAAATACCAATTTTCTTAATGCAGCTGTGCACGCTGGAATTTGAGACAAGGCGGGCTTCCTACTATTGGTTATTGCATGCACTTGGCCAGTATATGCCCTATGTATGGGAGTACTCGCGGTTAAATGTTACAAACACAGTGATGTCAAAACGCAAAGTAAGCTTATCGATCTGTCGCTGATGCATTCAGCTCATTAATATTGTGTTTTTCTTCTGCAACTACACAACTTTCTGAAGCTGATTTCAATTTGGTGTTGACAGCTTAATCGCCTTGTTACGGAGAAGTATGTTGATGGGTGGGATGATCCACGATTGATGACGCTTGCTGGTTTGCGTCGTAGGGGTGTAGCACCAACAGCTATCAATGCATTTGTTAGGGGTATTGGGATCACTAGAAGGTGAGATCTTTTTCCTTTTCTTTTTCTTTCTTTTTGTTTCTTGCTCAGAAGCTACTGATTTGGGTGATTGTGAAATGAAATTTTGGCATTGGTGATTGCTGTGTCCCAAAATTAATTCCATATTTGGCCTTGTAAAGTGATTTATGTTGCTAAAGATTTTTTAGAGAAAGGATATTAAAATAGTATGCACAAGTTATAAAAGTGGACATTAGTTGTTGTGATAAAAGAGATATAAAATTTAGGAAAATTTGTCTAGAAGGGACATATATGTTCACTTACTAGATTAACTCTCGTGCGATGCACGGATATAATAAAAAAATTTATAATTGTGTAAACTTCAAAGACATATCAGTCAAAATATGTAAAATCTTTGTATTACATACGATATTATTAACATAAACCAAATTGCAAAAAATAAAATAACATAAACAAAAGAAAATTCATGTCCACAATAAAATTTTGCGAACTTTGTAATTAGTTGGAATAATCACACATATAAAAGGTTGATATTTGTTTTCCTTAAGATTTTAAAAAGGTTTTTAAACGAAAAAGTATTGAAAACTAAAAAGTTTAATGTATTGTATAAAACTACTTTGCAATCAGTATTTAGATTTTTATTTAAAAAAAAACATAAAAGGAAAAAAAAAGTTTAGGCGGGAAAAAAATGAACGAGAAGCTGACATGTGTAAAATTTGGAAAAAGTAATGATGTCAGCGGTTTTTACTTTAGTAACTAGTGTTTAGTCCCGGCGATACCCCAAATCTATACATTAAATATTATTTACTTCGAATAATAGTTTATTTGTATTATAATAATCTTAAATACGTACTTTTATTACTGATTTAGTTGAAGAAAATAATTTGTAAAAAAAAAAAAAATCTCATGCCATACATTAACTACATTTACATTTTATTTGGATAAAGAAAGGGGAAGGAAAAGAAGGGGAGGGAAGAATGGTGAGTTTTCCTTCCAAATCTCTCCATTGTTGGATGGATTAATTTTCTACAATTTAATCCTTCCATTTCTCTCCCCTTCAATTCCCTCCCTTCCTCATTTGCTATCCAAATGAAAGATACTCCATCTCTCCATTTCTATTCCCTTCCTTTTCCCTCCATTTCCTTCAATTTAAACTCACCGTTAAGAAAAAATAAATAAACAAAAATATTAGATAGCAAAGATGGTATGGCTTCTTATTGACGTTGCCCCAGGGTACTACTTCTATAGTTGTACACTTGCTAATTTTTAAGAGCATTTAATAGTGTGTATGAATTATGTATTTTCAATATTTGTAAAGAATAATATTATTTAGTGTGCAACATTAAAGCATAAATGATTATTAGCCTAAATGGTTAAACAATAATCTTTCTTCATAGAGGACAAGAGTTCGAACCTTGTCATCCATATATTTTTTTTGTTAGAGATATGGGATATCGGAAAATATATGTGTGATATATTTTCCGTAGATATCATTGAGAGAATAATATATTTAGGATATTAATGTTATTATTTTGAAAATATATCTTTAGGGTTTATGGTTAGACTAGTATATCTTTTAGGGAAGATTGTTTCCTATCTTATTAGCTTAGGTTTTGTATAAATACTCAATCTATTGATGAATAATAATCGAGCAATACAAGCTATTCTATTTCCTCTCTAATTTAGCATTTTTCCAATATAGTTGAGGCAACGTGAAGTATTGTTGTGGATGACGTGGCATAATAAGGAGTCGAGTGAGTGACGTGGCGTAGTGAAGGGATCCACATGACGTAGAGACGTTTTTAGGAACGCCTTTTAATATATTAGTATAGATATTTATAGCTTTGTCTGGAAGCACCTTATAAATTTAAAGTGGTCTAAAAGAACCTTATAAGTTTGCTTTGTTGTTTGGAGGGACCTTGATGTTGGAATCCGCCCATTGTCTTTTTTATCCGGCGTTGACCTTGCACGTGACTTAAAAAAATGACCCTCCCCCCTTTTTTTTCCACTTATCCCTCCAATTTCTCCTCTCTCCTCTAATCCTCAATTTCTTTCTCTCTCCTCTAAATTTCCTTCTCTCTCCTCTAATCCCCAATTATTCTAAACTTAGCTTAATATGAATGGCAAACCGAGTACTCCGTATATTTAATATGCTTATATTATACGAAATATAATTCAACGACTATCAACATTAAATTTAGAGCATTCTGTTGACAGCTATTTTGGCGTTAAATTATTACTATGAAGGAAAATACCAAAAGTTCTCAATGCTGAATCAAAATCACAATTCAACTCCAATTATTTCAACTGAAAGCACATTTGATCTCTACTTTTTAAATTTCACTTCAGAAACGAATTTTGAAATTAATTTAGCCTTCAGAGCCCTAAATTTCATAATCGATTAAATTCAAGCCATAGAACGATTGATACAGAAAATAGGTTAACAGTTTCAATGAAAAACACGCTGAACAACAGATTAACATTGCTATACTTGGAAAAATTTTAGCAAATAATTGGAAAATTGAGCAATATAGAAAAAAGTATGGCGAAATTGAGAACAAAAATTGAGGATAAGCAGAGGAGAGAGAAAGAAATTGGGGATTAGAGGAGAGAGGAGGAATCGGAGGGAAACGAGGAAAAAAAAGGAAGGCTCATTTTTGCAAGTCACGTGACAATCACGCGCGAGGGTCAACGTTGGAGAATGACGTCAAGGTCCCTCCAAACAACAAAACAAACTTATAAGGTCCTTTTAGACCACTTAAAATATATAAGGTCCTTCTAGACAAATAAGTGAAGATAATGTCCCTTCTAGACAAATTTTCCTAAATTTTATGTATTGCATGCCGTGTTACTTTTACATGGAAGTTTGGCTGCCACGCTCATATCAACATAACACAACAAGGGTGTGGGTATGAATCCGTATCTGACACTTTACCTTGTAATTGACACTTTTTACTGCTTTAAAATTTGAACCTTAATTAAGATGGGACAGAGGATTGGAGGGCATTGATAATAGATTAAGATGAGCTCAATCTTCTAGGAGCTGATCTAAAATCCAGACAACAATTGAGAAACGTCTCACTTCCTATCTCTTCTCAACAGCTAAAATTTAGATAAATCTTTTCAGAAATTATGTTACAAATTTTCAAAAAATGTGTCTTCACATCCATGTCCATACTAAGAACAGTGCATGTGTCTGTATTATTTAGGCAAGTCGATTCAGGCTCTCTGATATTTACCTGTAACGACGCTCATACTCAAGTCTTAACTCTTAAGTAACATGGATAATGGATTGTACGTATCTTATGTGCAACTCCTAACATTTTAGATTTTCCTACTTGCAGTGATAATAGTTTGATCCGTGTAGATCGCTTTGAGTATCATATACGAGAGGAGCTTAATAAAATAGCTGCTCGCACATTGGTTGTCCTACATCCCCTAAAGGTTTGTATTTCTTTTTATCTCTTTCATATGATGGATATATACCTCCTTGTGTCTTATCGGCCTTTTGTTTTAGGTTGTCATCACCAATTTAGAAGCTGGTAAAGTAATTGAACTTGACGCAAAGAAGTGGCCAGATGCTCAAACCAATGACAACTCAGCTCTGTACAAGGTCAGCAATTTAGCATTGAAATTTTTCAGATGAAAAAAGGGATGCTATGTAATGCATTTAAATGGAACCACCTAATATGGCCTTCCTATTTATAATTTTCTTTCGTACTTGTATCTTATTGTTGGGTTTGGCCTGAAGTAGTTCATGTACAGGTTCCTTTTTCCAATGTGGTTTACATTGAAAGTTCTGATTTTCGGATGAAAGACTCAAAAGATTATTATGGTCTGGCTCCTGGAAAGTCTGTCTTATTGAGGTATGGATATGGAGGAACTTTGATTAATTTCTCTACATAATTGGGTAAATATCTCATCACACATGTATAAATACAGGTACGGATATCCCATTAAATGCACTGATGTGATCTTTGGCCCAGACAATGAGACAGTAGTCGAAATTCGGGCAGAGTATGACCCTGAGAAGAAAACGAAGCCAAAGGTTATTTTCTCACTCATTATATGTCACTGCCATTTTTTAAAAATGCGGTAACGGTTGTGATCGCAGTGACGCTCACGTTATCTTGGTATCAGATATCGTGCATCGGATTGCGAATGTTGCAACATGAATGTGGTTCCTTTTTAGAATTCAATTCGTTCTTAAAAATCATGATTCTAGAAACAATACTAGCATAATAGTTACAAAAGTCTGGTAAATTCTTGAATATATTAAAGGTTTAAAGCCGTTATTGGAGTAAAGAGTTGAGAAAAGTTGAATAATTGTCTAAAAAGCTAGGTATGATAGTGGTAGCGCCAAAATTGGCTTATCGGTTGACTCGGCCTAAATCTTGGTCTATTTTAAAAAGTGGCACAGTGCTGAAAGTATCGGTGCTGGTACAACTAGGCCGATACGATAGGTTGCGGTTGAGTTTTTTCACCATGCTAATTGTTAGTTTGTTACTTGATTATGACATTTAGGCAGCAATAAACTCGGAACAAAAAGGGAGGTTCACTTTTTTAGAGGTTGCTCTGGATCATCATTTGAAATATGGTTTTATCTGGTTGAAGAGAACAACACTTTAATTTGGTCCAAGTGAATGATTAATCGGTGATAATGGTAAGGGGTTCAAATGCAATTTTGCAAGGGGATTCCTATGTCAAATGTCAATAATTAATGCTTGTTCGCTCCAAGTATCACATTATCCTCATAAAATTCTATTACACCTTGAGATAAATTAATGTTTGGGAATGAAGTTTATGGGCATGGGACTGTTCTTACAAAAGTTCATACAAATTCTACTTTCCTCTCAGCCTTGCTCTAGTAGCTTAGAAGAATATGCAAGTTTGACATGCTTAATGTTATTTAAGATTTAAAGAGCATAATGCAGAGGTTTTTGTTATGGTAGGTCAGTGACAGCCAGAGTAAAACTGTCACATTGCTTAACATGAGCCACAATGATTGAGAATAGTACTAAGATGGTTCATATAGCCGGATCCTATTTATGGAATTAAGACGTTCAAGCAGAATTAGAATAAAAATTAGGTTTGTGAAGGACTTGATGTTGTCATTGCATTACCAGCTGTTAGATAAGTTTTTACCAATATTTCTGATCTACTGGAGGTTTTTTGAGCAGTTCAACGATCTTGGTTTTGTTTTTTGAAATATTAATATTATATAGAAAGATGAGCTAGATGCTTTGTTGTTATCATCTCCCAGTGCAAGTGACATTCTTTTAATTCGTCACATTGCTTAACATGAGCCACAATGATTGAGAATAGTACTAAGATGGTTCATATAGCCGGACCCCATTTATGGAATTAAGACGTTCAAGCAGAATTAGAATAAAAATTAGGTTTGTGAAGGACTTGATGTTGTCATTGCATTACCAGCTGTTGGAAAAGTTAGTTTTTACCAATATTTCTGATCTATTGGAGGTTTTTTGAGCAGTTCAACGATCTTGGTTTTTTTTTTTGAAATTTTAATATTATATAGAAAGATGTAGCTAGATGCTTTGTTGTTATCATCTCCCAGTGCGAGTGACATTCTTTTAATTCGTTGCTAGAAATGAGCTGATTGGTTATTGCTTGAATTCTTAGGGTGTCCTTCATTGGGTTGCTGAGCCTTCTCCAGGCGTCGATCCTCTGAAAGTTGAAGTTAGACTGTTTGACAGATTATTCCTTTCTGAGGTAGGTGATTTCTTGTCTAGCTGTATTCAACTATTCATTGCCTCTTTTCATGAACTAATCTCCGATTTTATAGAATCCTGCTGAACTTGATGACTGGCTTGGTGACTTGAATTCCAACTCCAAAATTGTCATACCTGAGGCATATGCAGTTTCCATTCTTCGAAATGCAGTACTTGGTGACAGATTTCAATTTGAACGTCTCGGTACGTCTGACTGGTCCACTTCTAAGTAATGGTTAATATAATTGCAAGGTCTATTCTACATATAATTCCTGGATATGCATTACATATTTACATTTTGCAATCATATTTATAGCACTTTTATGTCTGCCTGTTATACCTATTGCCTGTAATTGGAACATTCATCAATTCTTGGCAAGTCATTCATTGACGAAGGGTACAATCTATTTGGCTTAACTTATTTTCATTTTAGTTGAACTTATTTGTGAACTATATTTTCTGACCTACATAAAATTTTGAGCTTATTTTGTTCAAATAAGTCAAAATAAATTGAATGGAACGGGGCCAAAGTTAGATTTTCCCCTGCCAGTTATGTCCTTATCTGTACTTTTGTTATTTTACATTATAATTCCTCGGTTTTTTTTTATCATCACTTGCAACATACCCTCTTGGTACACACATCAAAACTTCAAAAGAGAGATTAGAGAAGGTAAATTGATAAAATAATTAAAAATGAGCCTGAAAGAGTTCAGCTATTAAGGTTAGGTTATTTTTAATTATCTGTTACCTTCTCAAATCTATATCTTACAATACGTGCCAATGGGGTATGTTGCAAGTTAGAAATACAGAAGTAGATCATCACTACAAAATGGACTCTTTGTAGCTCAATAAACTTCCTATAAATGTTGACAATTGTCAATAGTTTTGTTTAAAATTTGTTAAATTTTATCTTTGGTTTCAGGCTATTTTGCTGTTGACAAGGACTCCACAGCAGAGAAATTGGTGTTCAACCGGACAGTCACATTAAGGGACAGCTACGTCAAGGGTGGTAAGTAGCCTTCAGGTCTTGTCATCTTGAACTTCTGGTAAATTTAAATACTTAGCTTGTACAAAATTTTGTATGAGTTGAAATGTTAAAGAGAGGGGAGAATCGTAGCTAAAATAGTGTCAATGCTGTCGTTTAGTGATTCCTGATTTGTATCTCCACACAGCACGGTGCGAAATTGTCATTGTGTGTTGGATTATCTGTAAAATTGGAGGGAGATGGGGGATAAGGTTAAATAGGGGCCAATTACACTTAGAAACCTTCTCTGTATAAAATTAAGGTGCCAGTTGATCAATCTTCTCTTTCAAAACAAAGGCTGTTTTGGAGTGGAGTTGTTGACATATAGAAAACCTCTGATTCTTTATTTGGTTAATCTAAGTTTAATGAAAGATCTTACTCCTTACTAATAAAGCTTGTCAACTTTTACGAGTATTTTATTTATCGTACTTGTCTATTTATTTATACTTCGTATTTTTTTAAAAAATAATTTTGTTAGAGATATTAGGCTTGTGATGACTATAATGAGGTCCATCATTGGGAAATTGTGGCTATTTTATTTATTAAATTGGACCCAAACGCCAACCAAGGCTATTCCTATTGCCATGTTGATTGAGTGTGAAACTGCTAAAAGCAATGCAGAAAGGGACTTCTGTGGTGATGATTTCGAATGTGGATGCTGTAGCAGTCTTCGTAACACCCCACATGGTCTCTCAAAACAAAAGTTTCATATGAAAGAAAACTTCTTACATGCCTACCTGCTTACCCTTCTTGTTGATCATGGGATGCATATATAATTATACACGAGACAATATTAATACTATTTTCTGGATTTGGCCGAAAGCTTCAATCATTTTAGGGAAAAAAAACATGCAAAATAATAGGAATTTGAATTACTAGATGTCTTAGAGAAACTGCAGGAAACATTTCTATTAGTGTACTTGGAATTAATCTAATGCATTTGCTCCAACTTCTAGATCAAATGAGAAAAAACTTTCAATCCCTGCCATTTTTCCGGATGTGGTTAAAAGGCATATTTGATGAAAATTTGTGTTTTTGAGTCAGTTCAAGAACTGTTGTACTCCCAAGGAAGAAGCGTACATACTACTACGTAAGTCCGTAGGAAAGGTTTTATATAGTTGGTTGGGGATTCACCTTGTAATCAGCGTCCTTGAACTGTAGTCACTTGAGGTTTAGGATCTCTTATCTTTCTCCCCTTACATTTAGTGTTTGGTTTGCATATACTATACCTAAAAGACTGCGAGGGTAGAGGTATTACCTTGAAAAATAAGAGGAGTAAGAAACATCTTTCTCATAGGATTAACCTGAACTTTCAATCATACCATGGCATCATTGATGCCTGAACCTGACATTTTATCGTTGGAAGAGCTTTACCCATTGGCAGCGTTTGTGTCAATTGTGATTGAGAAACAGGTAGTCCAAATTATGCTTAAAATATTGGATATTGGTTACTTATTCTTGTAAATGCTTATATACAATCTTGTTTTTTGTCAAGCGTTTGTGTCAATTGTGATTGAGAAACAGTACCATGTGTATGATAAAAACCAAATTTATTTCTTTCTCACTTTTTTTTTTTTTTTTTGAAAATAAATTCTTTCTCACTTTGTTGCAGTCAATTTCTTAATATGGATGTTTTGTATGAAATCAGGGACTGGTCTTTTCTTTAAAAAAAAAATAATAATTTAATTAAGTATTACATTTTTCTTTTGCGACAATATTAGTTCTCTTTTTACTCATAGACTCCACTCAAACTCACTATTACTTTTTTTTTTTATCACTAAGTATATATATATATATATTTTTTCTCTCACATCTTTACTTGTCAACATTTTTTTAATATCTCTACTTATTGTTGTTTTGTAGTTCAAAATGGTATTCCATGAAGAAATTCCAATGTATTTGTCAACTTTGAATGCTTTTATAAGAATAGATTATGTTTAGACCTAGTAAAATCAATCCATTCCAAATTATCCAACACGGCATTTGAATTCTACCCCAAATCCTAAACTAACCTGACAACATGTCTTTTAATATAACTATTAATCATAATAAATTATGATCAATGTAGCCCTTTAAAACAATACAATCCAATTTCAAAATTAACATGAACATGGACTAATTTAAATCTGTTAGAAGAATCATAACGATTTAATTGTCATCCTTTAATTATGTGAGAATATTTGATAGTCCAACCTAAAAGTATTGGCAATATAGGACCATTCTTGTACTAGCCACCTTTATAAATGGGCAGGGGGCGGTGGTAAAGAAAGTACAGTAATAGGGTCCGTATGGCTGAGAACTCTTTCAACTAGAGACATCGATCAATCAGTCTTAATTGTGACTTGTACGATCTCAAGAATTCAGACGATTCACGCTATTATTATTATTATTATTATTATTATTATTATTATTATTATTATTATTATTATTATTATTTTTTATTTTTATATTATTTTATGTGACATCCAATGAACAATGACTATACTTTGATCATCAAGAAAGAATTGACAATTTTCTATTTCTATATTAGAAAAAGTTTTAATGCATTTATTATTATTGTATCAATATAAATATATAGACAGTTATAGATAACTCAAAGTAGTCAATTTACTATCGTCACACCCAACAATCCTTCAATCAATTATGGAGTATTAACTTTACACTTTGTTTGGATTAAAGAAAATAGAGGAAAATAAAGGAAAGGAAAAATAAAAAGATGAATAATCTTTTATTTGGATAATAATTGAGAGGAAAACAAAAGGGGGGAAGGGGGGAATAGCCAAATAGGTAAGAAATTGATCTTTTTTAAATGGAGAGATTGGAAAATTTCTTCATTATTCCCTCCTTCCCTTCTATCCCTTTCTTTTCCTTCCACTTTCTCTATCCAAACATTCCCTTAATTCTACTTAAAGTATTAAATTTAGTTTAAGTGAAGGAGGATTTTATCTCTAATTTTTCCAAGACTTTTGGTTAGGTATCAAAATCTAAGATTACTTATAGAATTTACTCAAGCTAACATGAACACCAATTAGGGATTATTTATTGTGGATGATAGCATGATGAAATTATGGGTGAATCATTTTACTATAACAAATCTTTTTTAATTTAACAATTATTTTGGAAAAAAGAACATGTAATATGACATACCTCATTAAATAAGGTTTTATTGTTGAAATTTGAGGTCGCATGTTCAAGCCTTAGGAAAAATTTATAATATATAAACAGTACTTATAGTACCGATTAAGATATATCTTCATATTGTACTTTATTTATTTGGTGCAAATATCTGGCACCAAGTGTGAACCTTGATTACACAACATAAGGTCATGTGGATCAAAATTAAATTGACATTTGATAGTATCAGATTCATAGAGTACTAGTACTAATGTTCTCATCCGTTTTATATTGCCAACTTTAAGAATGTTGTTTTGAACTAGTTGCAATGCAAATTTGTAAAGTCTTCTATTTCTATGCATTAGTCATCTCAGTTTTGGAATCAATAAAGATTAGTATAGATTTGATAATATTAGTTATTAAAAGTTAAGCTAGTTGTTCAGTGCTTACTTCATGTACATATATGTCACACAATGACACAATTACACAAGCACCATATCTTAATCAAACATCGTTTTTTTTTATAATTACAAACATGTAAGCTAGAGAACAAGCACCATATCATCAATTGGGTGGTTTTTCATGACGCTTTAGAGGTAAGAGTAAGGGAATCCCCATTCTAAGGTTTTCATGGCGGACTTTGAACCTCTTTAAAGTTTTGAGAGTTTTTTCTTTACCATTAGGCCATATGCCAATATTATAAGACAAGAATGTTCTTTCCTCGGGTCTGTATGTTTCTTCTTTCTACTTCTAAAGTTCTAATTAGACCAATTTTGAATTTAGAATACTTTTAGTCAGTCTTATTGAAAATATGTTGACTCTTCTTCACCTAACAAATAAAAAAAGTCATTTCAATATCTAATCTTGCTATCAAAACAAATAAGCATCCTATATGGCCGCGACATACGGAAGTTTTTTCTTTGACAATGGAAGCTAAGACTCTAAGAGGCTGTTTCATAGAAAGTTAATGCAAGTACACAAGTTCAAATAGAAAACTATATTCAAGCTTCATCAAATTAATAAAATCAAAAGAATGGAAAATCATTTAATTAAGGGCCTGTTGTCATCAGATTATTTCCATTTCAGTTCAGTTCTAATAAGTCCAGTTCAATTCAGTTCCTAATTTTCCTTCTCTCATAAAATATTCATTTCAATTCAACTCTAATAAGTTCAGTTCAATTTAACTCATTTCATTCAATGAGAACAGACCCTAAATTTAACTAGTATGTTTGTATTACAACTTTACAAGAGTATAAATGTATAATAACTATTCCCTCTATGATGCATAAAGATAAATACAAGATTTTTTCGTAGACTAAGCACTGAATATTCACATTGCATATTAAATTATATGAAATAATTAAATCATGTTAAAACTTATCTTATTAGTAAATTACAATTTAGGGTATCTGATAAAACAGAGAGAATATAGAATAGAAAGATTGGAAATAATATCCTAAAAGATATACTAGCCTAACCATAAATCTTTAGATATGTATTCTAAATAATATCTTAACATAAAATAAACCTCATAAAATAAACCTTAAATTTACTATTCTGCTTATAAGATTAATATGGAAAATATATCGCACATTACAATTTTTTGTATGCGGTTGGCCACATGGTACGTCAGAGGTTACTTGTAAGATGTTACTGGTTTTGTCAGGGGTTACTTGTAGGTGTTACTTGTATTCAGGGGTTAGTTGTATTAGTGTTATTGATTTTGGTAAGGGGTTACTTGTAGGTGTTACTGGTTTTATCAGGGTTGCAGGTGTTATTGGTATTTTGGGTTACTTGTACGGGTGTTACTGGTTTTGGTCAGGGGTTACTTTATAGGGTGTTACTAGTTTGGTATGGGGTTTTGGTCTGGAGTTACTTGTAGGAGTTACTCAGAATACAAGTAACCCCACGATATAAGTAACCCATACAAGTAACCTCATAATACAAGTAACACCCTATAAGTAACCCCCTACAAGTAACCTATATAAGTAATCCCAAATTACATATAACTCTAAAATACAAGTAACACCCTATAAGTAAGTAAGTAACCCCTGCCGCACCATGCAGCTTGCCGCACTGAAAAACCTCTTATCACGCATATATTTTCTGAAACTAATGATATTATATCTCTAACAGTATATCTGGATTGGAGTATTTTTTTAAACAACAATGTAGGAGTTAATAATATCAAAGTGACCAAAATGAACTTTAATTTTTTTTTTTTCTATTAAAAATTTAAATTTTTAGAAAAATGGTGGGAAAGGGGGAGACGGCAGCTAGAGCAGTAGAGCACGAGTCACCTTATGCTCCTCACAAAATTCATTAATATATTGACAATTTCAACTTACTCAATAGTCAATACCTATGTACTTTTCTTTCATTTTCTAAAAAAAAAAAAAGGTACTTTTCTTTCACTCTTCGTTCACCCGTTAGCAATGATCATCAAACCTCTACCATTTATCCATTATGTACATCGACCTATTAAACTCAATCACTTTCACTGATTTATATGTACTCCTTTTGTTTCATTGTAACTTAATCATTGCTTTTTGCATGTTGTTAAGAAAAAGAGGGAGAAAATGGAGGTTGTATTAAAAAAGTAGTATAACACTATATATTAACCTATTTAAAAGCATTTTAATATATGTTTTTAAATTATATTAGTAGTAAAAAAAAAAATTAAATTTAGTATTATAATAATGTAAAATGTCAAACCATGTCAATTATTCTAAAGCAAAAGAAGAACGATACATTTAGCCCCACTACTTTTATTTTTTCTCAACTCATTCCAACCAAATATTACTCTGTGCAAAGTAATAAAATGACTTTTGGGTAAATAATTAGGGCGGGGGAATAGGAACAAAACCAATCACCAAGAAATAAATGCACTTAATAGTTAATAATATTGAAAAGGAAATGCAATGGAAGCAAAATAAAGAGGAGGAAGGGTAATATAAAGTGTAACCATTATTTGACATTTATTTGCACATTGAAAAAAAATCTCTTACTACATACTCCGTATATAAATTAGTTTTTTGGGGGAAAACATTTTTACTACTCTACTACCTCTGTTACAGGTTATGTGCAACGATTTCATAAGGTTAAAAGAGATAACGACTAGAATACAAGAAAATAGAGGGAGAGCAATGTACAAGTATAATTATTATTATGTCAATAAAGAATAGATAAAATATCATATAAACCAATTATGTTGGGCTTTTTAGGTTGTTTGGCCATTCTTACAGTATAGAAAAGAACCATTCATATTTATGGTTATCTTGCAATGTGAATATTAAAAAGGCCCCCCCCCCCCCTACCTCTTCTCTGATTAAATCAGCCAGTAAAATGTCATTTTCTTATGATTCAATAATTGTACCATTGACCCATTCACCCATACCCTTTTATTTATCAAAGTATGTCATTATCATCTAGTCATGACTCCTATCAACTGACTACTCCTTTGATCTTCTACTTACAATGTGGTCAATTTGCATTTCATTTCATTATGCTGTTGATAATGCTCTCAAAGTCATCACAAACAGTACAACAGAAAAAGATGTACGAGTATTATACTTATTTTTTACTTATTATTAATCAACACTTTTTTTGGTACAGAATTTACCACGCTAAAAATGGATTATTTCTGCACCTACAACTAAAACAACATTACATTACATCATATATACATTACTATTTACTTATTACATACATACTTCGTATTAGTTCTGTTGAAAAGTGGAAGGCCGAGGATGGATTCTCACCCAGCTTACTTTAGGGGTATCTTACCTAAAAGAAACATAAAATATTACGTACAAATAAAAACACGAATATATACTTTTAGCTGGGTACATAATACGGAGTAGATACTTATCAGAAGCCTATGTCAAAAAAAAGGGGGCTGGATATGATTCATTTTTGAAAAAGGGCCCATTTCTTTCATGTTTAGATGCCCACATCTTTTTCGTACTTCCTAAACTGCCACAACTCATCCAAATCCCACATGCCATCCCCTGCCATATCATTATCGAGCCAATCGTTTCCATCCATGTGGCAGCCGGAGAACGGAATATCGGATGCTGACATGGAACCCAAGTCCATGTCATAGTTACAGCTATTCACACAATGAATATCATCTAGTACAACAGAGGAGCTGCCTTTACTATTAGTTGGTTGGTCTTGAAATTCCGGGACACTTGATAGGCTGGTGTTTGAACTTGAAGTATCTTTAGTGCTATCAAAGTTGATGTCCTCTAATTTGGTTGTTGATGATGGTACAATGTGTGAAGAAGCCGCGACTTGATCACATTGATCAGCATTATTCGGAGTTGTATGTTCAGTCGAATTCTGCTCCATTTTCTGCACCAATCTAGGCATGTAAAAACACCTAATTGCATCTATGAAACTTTGGCTATTAGATTCCATATTGAGATGTCTAGCCTGTTTTTGCACCCTCGTTCGCCAATAGTTTTTGATCTCGTTATCTGTTCTTCCTGGTAGGTGTGCTGCTATTTTTGACCATCTATCAAGAAATAATCCTCAAATTAACGATAATTTAGCAATATGTTAAGATTGTGTACATTTCAAGACTAAAAACTCTATGAAATTTAAAATAAAATAAAAAAAGTCAAGAATTTGGACCACTTAATGTCTTGGTCACCCGATATAGGTTTTTAAGTACTTAAGTACATTTTTGGTGTAAAAGCAATAACCATCAAAGCTTTTTCTTTAGTTGCCGAAATGTTACAAGTAATTGTCGAAACTTTTCGAAAGGAAAACGTCTTAATGGCTCATCATGGAAATTAAAGAAATATGATTAAATTGAATGCAAGATATGTACATAGCATATGTTATTATCATGATTATGGCTAAGACATTTTACCCATCAAAAGAATACTTTGTACTTCATACTCCCTCTATCTCATTAAGCTTGCCTTGTTGAGTTCGCTCTATTGAGTTTGTCCATTCCTTAATGACATATTTTCCCCCATTTACAACCCATGTGCAACAGCACAAAAAGTGCATGCTTTTAAGTGAATCAAATCTTAAAAAAGAAAACTAAGGGTTATGGAACAATTTTAGCGGGAAGAAGGAGGTATAGACATGCAACCCAAGTCACAAGATATGAGGAATAAACTAACTTTCGGTTGAGTTGGTATCTTCACATCGGTATACTGTTTTACATATTCCTAGGTGTGAGTGAGTTACACTATTTAAATATATATGATGCATATATTGCTACGTACACTTTATTTAAGTGCCATAAATAGGGTTAACAAAGTTTTAACTAATTAAACTAACAAATGACATGTGAGATCAGTAGTCTAATTCATTAGTGTTTTAACAAAGTGATTTCATTAATTAGTATTAAAAACTAAAATGCAACAATGTACGATTATCCTTTAACCTAGCTAAGCTAGAAAGCTATTATAGCAAAGTACAATTATATTATTTTATTATTATCAATGATAAGTTTGACAAAAAGTCAATAATGCAGACGAAATTTAATCCTAAATGGACCACTATTGACCATTATTTTAACAAGGAAACTAGATGACATCTAATAGTTAAGATTGATAAGTATAATGAAGTTCAAATAATTGGAACACTTTCTTCATTATAGCGTTTATAATTTATTAGTTACTCTTTCCCACAAAGCAAACTGAAGGGGATTAGGAAGTCATAATTAGGGCCTAATTACACATCCGAGCATATTAATTAGTGCCTTTAATCATCTTGTGAGCCAAAACTCCAATGCATGTCGTTATGAGTAATAAAAAAAAAAAAAACAAAAAAAAAACAGAGTAATATGGAACTTTATTTGATTTTCAATTCAATGCTTGAAGAAAAAAGCTTACCTGTTACCCCATTTGGAGTGAAGTTCAAGGATCAAAAGTTGTTCTTGTGTACTAAGATTACCGCGCTTAATGTCCGGTTTCAAGTAATTAAGCCATCTTAATCTACAGCTTTTTCCGGTTCTTTTCAACCCTGCAATTACAAAATGAATATTCTAATTAATTCATTACTACTAATTAATAAACATACAATCTTAAAAAAAAAAAATTAAATTTTTTTTAAAAATAAACATACAAATGCAATCACGGGTAATACCGTAATATTTTTGCAGCCTTTAAATTTGCAAATAAACAGTTAACAAATTTCCTAAATTAACACAACTGTTGTTTTAGAAATGCATGAAAAAATTACACTATGATAAATAAGTGATTTAACATAATATTTATGCTTTTACCTCTTTGTATTAAAATTAATCAAAAACAACTTAAGGAGTTATTTTATCAACTACGCTAGTTTAGTATTATACACTAGCAGCAATACTCAAGACCTAAAATCAAATCCCGTCGAAAAATGATAGTGTTTTGTATATTACCTGCTGATTTAGCCAATAAATTCCATCGACCTTCACCGTGACATGCAACATAATGGATGAGCAAATTATCTTCTTCAAGTGTCCAAGGCCCTCTTCTTAGTTCTTCACTTTCTTGATCTTGTATGTTATTATTATCACAATTATTAAGAATATCATCCCCTAAAATTTCTTTTTTCATTTTTTTTTTCTTTTTTTTTTTTTAAGGGTGGGGTTGAGATTTGGGGGTGGTGATTGAGCTCAGTTAAAGCAGTGATAGCACTGAATGCTACATACCATTTATATAAAGAGAGAGAGAGAGAGAGAGAAAAAAAGAAAGGAGAAAATTCTATTGAACAAGGTTGGAAAAGTATACTTTGTACAAGTTTGTGTCACGTGCTATTGCCTTGTTATTAATTCCTTCTAAAATTTAATTGTATTCTTTTTGGGTTTTTCTTTTGTTCTATAAATGGAATAATCACTTTTTAGTAAGTGTGTGTACTCTCATTAATTTTACCTCAATAAGATGTTTATCAAACAAATTCTTTCATTGAACTGGAAATGTTCTTTATATTAGCATCTTGCTTAGGTTAATAGAGTGACTGAGAATATAATCATGTTGTTAAGTCAAGTCGTTGTTACTAAAATTCCTCCAAATCTTCACTTTGTAAAATTAGCTTAAATATTGTTTGACATTTGTTTGTGCCGGGTTAACTATTGTATTTTCACTTTGTTACTTCTTTGACGAATTGTATGTATTTGCTACTAAATACTTGAATTATCTACTCCATAGTAATTAGACTTCTATCATCAATAACTTAACACTCTTTTGTTATTTCAAAAAAAAAAAAAAAAAAAAAAAAAAACTTAACACTCTTTGTTTTCCACAATTGTACATTCATTCCTTTCTGTTTTAGAAAATTATGTCTTTTTCTTTATTTTTGAATTGTTACACTTTCATCCTCTTAGGATCTTCATATTTAAAAAGTCCCATTTGCACACTTGCTTACTTTTGGACACTTGTTACTCCACTTATAATCACTCTACCTTCTTTTATGTGCGACTTTTTTTTAGGGGTACAATCAGCTTAAGAATTATTCTCTTCACTTGATATAAGTTCCTTTAATACTTTATACGAGAGATTATTATTATTATTATTATTATTATTATTATTGTTAAATTATTGTTTCATATGATCTTATCAAAATTTAACTGAGCATTATGTATATATAAGAAATTGTATATTAAAAAAATTATTTCAATAAGCGTCTTATTAGATTCGTTTCATATTAAGGAGAGCATAAAATGAGTAGTACAATACTCCCTTTAATTTAAGGGGGTATTTGGATAGGAGAGGTTTGAAGCAAAAGATTGAAATGAACCTCGATTTAATGAGCATATTTGGTTAAGATGAAGGATTTGAATCTGAAAGAGCTATTTTTGAATAAAACTAGCAATATGTGTTTTATTATTATTATTATTATTATTATTATTATTATTATTTATTTTTAATTAATTAATTAATTTTTTTTTATGAGAGATATTTGTGGTAAATAGGGGGATTTGACTCTTCTACCTTTAAGTTGGTCAAATTTACCACCTTATAACAAGTTTGCTCAAATTAATAGTTAAATTGAATTTAGGAAATTTTAGAAAATAACACCACAAAAAAAACACAAATTTTGATTATAACACCACAAAATTTAAAATTTTGCTTATAACACCACAAAAAAACTCACAAATTTGATTTCACCACATTCTTGGATGAAATCCGTTAGTGGGGCCATAATTTGACACGTGTCAATAGCCTATAGATTTAAAAAAATTAAATTAATAAAAAGAAAAAAAAATAATAATAAAAAAAAAAAAGAAAATCCCTAACACAGCTAGCTCCACCACCGGCGCCACCTTACCTCAGCCGCCGACACCGTAACCCAGGTCGCCGGCACCCATTTGCCTCCACCAAAACCGGCGAAACCACCCACGCTGCCGTATTTTGCCTTCCCCCTCTTCGAAAACCACCCACGTCGCCGAAATTCTCACCCGCACCAACCCAAAAACCACCGGCATTGACGAAATCAACTCCCACACAACCCGAAAACCACCCACGTCGCCGAAATCCTCTCCCACACCATCATCGTCGCCGATTATCCTCTCTCTTACCCAAAACCGTCGTCGAAAACCACCCTCATCTGAACCCTAACCCGTTTCCAGATTTCGAATTAAATCGGAGTTGTGGGTGAGGCCAAGCTGGGTACGACGTTTAAGGGTTAGGGAGGTGCGTCGTTCAGGTGGTCGGGGGTCGAGGGTGGTCGACTGGGCGAACCAGTAGCGGCGGTGGGCAGGAGAAACCGACGCCGGTGGTGAGTACGGTGGCTGGGTTTGGATTTTAGGGTTTTTCATTTTTTTTTTTGTTTTTTTTTATTTTTCCTTTTTTTAATCCAATATATATCTGACACGTGTACTTTGTGGGGCTCACTAACGGTTTTTTGGATGGTGTTAGAAAGTGGTGGTGAAATCAAATTTTTTGGTTTTTTGGTGGTGTTATAATCAAAATTTATGTTTTTTTGTGGTGTTATTTTCTAAAATTTCCTTGAATTTATTCTACTTTTGATCAACTTACACAATAGAGTAACTATCAATTAAGTATCAAATATCAACTACTTCCTCCTTTTTTAGTTTACACCGCTTGACTTTTACATTATTCACACACTACACTTTGACTCGCTTTTGTGATTTATAGATACGATAAAATATAATCATGTATATATGTGTGTGATTTTGTTTGAATCATCTTTATCTACTTTTTATAATTTTACAATGTTGATAATTGAAGTTATTAAACGTTAAAAACATGCGTTGACAATTCGCGTGATAATAGAAATGTATCAACTAAAGAAATTGATCTCGACATTTGATTATTTTTAAAAACCCAAAATTTAACATGAATTTGCTTCTAGCGGTCCCAATCGGTCATTTAACTTGTTATAATAAGTTATCGGAAACGTGTCAACACGTGATTGGTAAAATAAAATAATATTAAGTTAGAAATTTTTTTTTTTTTAGTTTGTTTTAATTTTATTTTAAATTTTTTTGACCATTCACGTGGTGACATGTGTACGTTAAATAATTTTTAAAAAAACCTTTATATAAGGTTACTAGTCACTTGGGACTAATACCAAATTCACCGGTTACTGAGTTAGGGTTATTATTTTTTAAAAAAAAAAAATCAAAAGTTGTGATTATTTTCAGTGAATGAGGTAAAGTTGGGATTATTCAACCCAAACATAACTTCTTCTCTTCTATAATGTGGGGTATATCCCGATACTTATTTTTTTTTACACTATCTTAAGTGAGACAATTGTTTCACTCACATGTGGGTTTGTTCATGGACTTAACACTTTTTTTGTTATTAAGTTGTCCATAATATTGACCCAAATCACAACTAAACCTAACTCGGGCTCTGATACCATGTTGAATGGCCATGATCCACACCCGTCACAATTGCCAACTTCATAAGTTTAAAGAGGTTCTATTTTAAAATCATATGGCAATGAAGCGAGTAGCCTTTAACCTTATAGAGTAAATGCAACATCTCTTCTCAACGTGAGATACACATCTCAATACTCACTTTTACTTTTTACACTCTTTCAATATGTGGAAAAACAGTTTCACTCATATATAAATTTGTTCATGGATTCAACATCTTTCACAAACCGACTCATCTCAATCAAAGATTACGTCCATCGAGAAAACAAAAACAGAGAGTGTAACATAAATGGAAAGGATCAGGAGCGAGTAAACAAATACTTGTATATCGTTTGCCACTTGTAGAAAAGATGAGATCATTTTGACTACTCCATCCCAATACATACATGACATACATTAATCAATTATAGATTCAAGAGGTTCAACAACACAATCAATATAATTGGAGCCCAAGTTGAACTTAATCCTTACAATTATACAAAAGTTTGTCAAATTTTGTTGCTATAATATAGTATAAGTGGAGAGTTTTATAATCAAATCATATCATATCATTCATATGAATTATGAAATGAGACTATGACTAAGAGTACACATAAATAAATAAATAAAATAAATAACTCCAAAATGATTCCTCCATTTTTGGTGTCACATTTTCTTGTGCTTCCTGATAACCACATGCAAAAAGAGACGTGCTTGACTGCACAAAATACCAAATAATTGATAAACAAATAACAACGTGTTCTACCTTGGTTAGCTTATTAGGGCGGCAATTAAAAGCATGCTTAACAATGATATTATTATAATTATTATAATTATAAATATGATTATAATATATGATATAGTTTTTAATCATACATGGTACGTCATATCTGTTTGTGGGTGAAATGACAAGAATATGCCTGTTAGTGTTAGCTCCTAGGGAAAAAGAAGCAGCCGTTTGTTTAGCATTAGCAGTGACTTTTCCTAGGTTGTCTGTCTCCTTTTTCTTCTTCAATTCATCTATTTTGCTTACAAATGTATGTGAGATACTGGAATTTTTCAGAGATTATGGTCTAGAATTCTCAGTCTATATAATTTTTGTCAGTGCAGTTATTCTATGAATCAATGAATGTATGACTACTGTTATTTTAATGAAAGTTTACTGCATTTACCTTATTGTACGTGGAGGGTAGTTTCATTCAATCTCTGAGGTAACTAATCATATCATGTACATTGGTTTGGATAGTTCATTAACTAATTAGGTTGTTTCTAGTTCAGTGTTGGATTCTGTTCTCATTGGCTGAATTGAGCTGAACTGAACTGAACTGAATATTTTATAAGAGAAGGAAATTAGGAGCTGAACTGAACTGAGCTGAGCTGAACTGACCTGAACTGAACTGAATTTCAACGTATGAAAACATACCCTTAATTAGACCCTTTTTTTTAGACTTGTTTTTCAATTTGGATCAACTGATTTCAATTCAGATTCACTTAAAAGAAAAAAAAAATCTTAGAGAGGTGATAAATAAATTGTTAGTATCGAATTTGGATTGGATTACTCAATACAGTTGTTTTGATACTCAATTGTTTTGGTGATACAAGGAAATGTTACCTAATTGGACCACACTCTGAAACTTGGGTTAATTAGACTTGTTACTAGCATGCATGCTATGATAATGAATAGACTACCTCTCTTTATCATCCATGAGAAGGATTTAGTACGCCCAATAAATTCCCATCAAAGGATATATAGGTGCTACAGTGGCGCATAAATATATGATACTCCTTTCGTTCCATAATATCATTTATATTTTAAAAAAAATACGATAATTAAGGAGAATAATGGAAGTAGGAGAATATTCTATTAAAAAAAAATAGAGAATATTGTATGCGAATAATAAAAAGTAGAGAGTATTGTATGAAAAAATAAAAAGTGATCATTTGTTGGGTATATGCATATAGAGTATTTTGTATCAGAAAAATAAAAAGTAATAATTATATGCTATTTTTAGAAATAGGCACAACTTTTTTTTTGAAACAAATAGGCACA